TTCAATAACTTCAAACTCAAATTTTAAAACGAATTTTCAAACGTTTTTCTTTTAAATGAAGACACTTTTCTCGTTTTTCACTCTTCTTATTCTTATTTCACCATGTAAGTTTATTATCGATCAAGTGAGATAAAAAAAAAATATATCTATCATCTGTTTCTAACAATGTATATATTGATTAAATTTTTCTATACTTTTCTTGATACTTTTAATAGGTGTATCAAATCTTATGGCAAAACATGATTCAGAGAGAAAAACTCCCTTTTCTAATCACGGAGAAAGCCATCAAAATCAGCCATATGTGCATTTTCGAAGTCGAAGACACAGAAATTATTTTATTCCTGAGGAATGTACTATGTTATGTCCAGAGCGTTGTTTAAGAAAACATAGATTAATGGTATTCTGTAGTATTCCACAACATATTTGTCGTTGTAGTTCTTTTCAAATAAGGTCCCCTCACATTGCAACTTCTCCTAAACAATCATTAAATAAATAAACAAATTAACAACATCATATATCCTTTTTCAGTAAAAATCTAAAAGCGTGTTCTAGTTACTATTTTGAGGAATCTAAAATTCTGAAAGCAACAATAAGAAAACTTGTTTTTCACTTGTGGCGAAACCCCAGATAACAAGAAAATAAAAATTGGACATCTCTAACTGGGCTCAGTAAGGCCATAATCTAGGTTCGAAATTTGTTTATGATCAATTTTTGATGATGTCCACTTTATGAACTCATTATGTCTACTTTTTCGATAAATAAGATACAAAATTACGATTGATATAGGCAACACAAATCCATCTAAAGTTGTTGGGCTGAAACAAAAAAAAAAAACTTTTAAACATGGAAACGAAAAGTAAAACATTCATCTTGAATTACAAATATATCGATTACTAAATCTAAATGGTGTTTATATATATATAAAAAATATATATACAGTATAACTAATTGTAATGGGCTAATGGCTATGATTTAATTAATAGTTTTAAACTAAACAGTAATTTAGAATTACTTACGAGTATAGTTTTTGTAACTATCATTTATAAGAAAACCGTTAATAAGACCATTAACTTTTCTGTAACAGAAATATACTCCAAAAGGATAACGTTTTGCAAGTACATATAAATATGATACCATTTGGCATCAGTAACTTCACATCTATATATACATTTTTGGATGACTTTTAGCAAATAAATCCTGGAGTTGGAATGTATTTACAAAGAATGCCATTGGTTGGGTGGGTTTTTTTAATTACGTGCGACCCGGATTCAGAAATCGGATACTGTCTCGACAATTAAGTGAAAGAAAGGACAAGGCCCAATATTTGGCCCATCGTAAAACAAGTTAATTTTGTTAGGCCTTTCGCAAAACCACGAATGTTTAAATAATCTTAATTATGGTTAAAATCTAAACTTCCCAATCTCCAAATATTTACCTAAACAATTACTTACTATACTTAAGCAACATTTTCCATTCAATCTTCCTAAAATCTCTGAAACTTAACTAAGAATAATACTGTGTTTCGAAAATTAATGCCGATATTGTCGACATTCCAAGATTGCCGAGATCTCTTTCTATTTAAACACTCCATTACTTGAACTTCAAGTAATTTTTTCCTAAAATATCTATCTAGATTAACGAAATATATAAACCATATTAATTACCAAATAAAAAATTGATCCTAACATATCCCAAAAAAACAATAATATCAAAGATTGTATCCCACAAAATATGCATCGTTTTTATTTTTGGAGAGTAACCTATGAATACACGAAACCTAATTTACTTTCCTATAAATACTTTACACCTACACCTGTTTTTCCATCACCAAAACCGAGAGCTTACAATCATATAACAATACTTAGCATACCTTTCCTCTCTTCCAAATGGCTACTACCTTCGCTTTCCTCAAAGACGTCCGCCCATACAAGGCATCATGGAGGGTTCAAGTCAAGGTTTTGCACGCTTGGCGTCAATACCTAGAATCCACCGGTGAAACATTAGAGATTGTATTCTCTGACGAACTGGTAAACATATTACAACTACGTATTTTCAAATAATTACTTTTATCCTTCTACGTACATATACTAAAACAAAACTTCATTCCTATTCAATATAGGGAAAAAAAATTCATTGTTCTGTTAGGAAGGACTTGGTGAGCAAGTATGTTAATGAGCTTCAAGTTGGTGAGTGGGTCTTCATTGAGACTTTTGGCCTCAACTATGCAACTGGACAATACAGACCTACTCAACACCTCTACAAGATGACATTCCAAACAGGGACGAACATCATTCCATGTGAACCAAAGTCAGATTCTAACTTTTTGACACTCGCAAAGTTTAGTAAGATACAAAGTGGTGAGCTCAATCCATACTTGGTCGGTAAGTAACAACTCTTGTGTTTTTTTAAATCGTGAACTAGCAATGAAGTAATGTTTCGTTGAATCCTTAATTATGTTTAATAACTGAATTTTGAATTTGCAGATGCCATAGGACAGATTGTTACTATTGGAGAGTTGGAAAATCTCGAAGCAAAAAACAAACCAACTACCAAAATTGAGTTTGAGATTCGCGATGAAACGTAAGTGTTTTAAATATTTTCATATGATCTTATTGAACCAATAAGTTGAACTACACTATTTTGACTGATACATATACTCTTATTTTCTCTTAGTGATGAAAGGATAGCATGTACCCTCTGGGGCAAATTTGCTGAACAGGTTTTTAATGCCTGTCAAAATTCTGATGGAAGGATTGTGGTCTGCATCCTAAGATTTGTGAAAATCAAACCCTTCAAGGGTACATACTTTAGTATAATTTTCTTATACTTAATTAAAAGGAAAATACTTATTGAACCTTTGTATAATTTTGTGCCATACAGGTGTTATGGGTTTATCTAACTCTTTTGATGTGACTCAAGTACACGTGAACCCACCATGGAATGAAGTTGCTGTTTTCACCCAAAGGTATGGTTAACTACTCTATTTGTATTCTTTTAATTTTGTAAACTTAATTCTGATTTAATACTAACTACATCAATCTTTGCATTTATAGATTGCCAGATGATGGTCTAAGACTCAGTTTTCGTGAGAGACAACCAAGACGCCAGATGATAACTGTTAAGGATGAGGATTATCTTGAGTTTCCAAGGAAAACAATCTCTCAGCTGAAGAATTCTACAGAGGTATATTTTTCTTACGAACTCTACATTAACATGTATGCTAATGTTATCCATATTTTTTCCTAGATTGGAAAGGTTAGGCTTCTGTGTACGCTCTATGCCATTGATACGGACTGGGCTTGGTATTACATTAGTTGTCGCAAGTGCAATAGGAAGGTTAATCATATCCATGCTGGAGTGAATGGTGTGAATAACAAAGGCAAAAAACCAAGATTTTGGTGTGATATTTGCAAAACTGTTGTCACAAATGTTGTTTCAAGGTAATGAAAAAGAACAGACACTTTTTTTTTTTTTCATCAAGAACAGACACTTTATAAAACGCAATTAGTCAGATTCTTTTAGAACAATTTTAATCTGTCAGTTTCTATATTCGTTTCAGGTTCATGCTTTACACTCAAGTCATGGACAACACTGGAGAGGCAAAGTTGCTGATGTTTGATTCCATATGTTCAGAACTCATTGGTGAAACTGCTACATCTGTGCTCGATGGCAGTGTTGATGAGGTAAGTTTGTCTCATATCTAAACAGTTTAATCGTTATATGTTGAGTAATACACATTGTCATTTGACTAAATGAAAAATCTTCTATATTGTAGATCGTGGACCCAGAAAATTTACCAGATCCAGTTAAAAATCTTATTGGAAAGACTTTTCTATTTCTGGTATGTGTTGAGCAAGAACACATTTGGGCTGGTAAGGAAATCTTTAAGGTTTTCAAGGTCCTATCGAACGGTGGTCTTCTCGAAGAACAACTTCTTGAATTTTCTGGTGATATGGTGAATGCAGCATCAATGGTCTCCGGTGATGAGGTAACCTATAAACTCAAATCTCTGTTCAAAGATATTAGATAGATTTAATCCAGCAGCTATTTAACTTTCTTCTTGCAGGCACCACTCATGTTGGAGAATAGCCAGGAAACTATGGACTCGATTACACCGTCGTCCAAGCGTGTTTATGCTCTTGATGCTGGGACTCCAGATCAATCATCAAGCTCAAAGAAGTTGTGTATCGATCCCTTAGACTTGGGAAAGTCTAATCCAGAGTTTGGAGATGGAGGCAGCGTTTCTCGAGTTGAAGAGGTAACTATCAATGATGGGAATGAGAAAAAGAAAGCTGCTACTCAGTTCGAAGAGCCTACCATCAAGGATGGGGATGAGAAACCTAAGGCTGATGCTCAATCCAAAGAGCCTACCATCAAGGATGGGGATGAGAAACAAGAAGGTCAAGATCGTGGAGGTTCAGTTACGAATTCTTTGAGTGAGTTCTCAAAGAATCTGATGGGCGTTAAGGTGAAGATAGAAAAGAAGTAATCTGATGCTGTGTTGTTTGAACCTTTTAAAGTTATGTTTTTTATTTTCAGTTTTCTGCAGTTGTTTGAAATAAGTGCTGCTTTCAAGCACATCTATTTATAAGTTCTGATGCTTCAATAAAATTAGTTTTGTTTCAGTGATTATTTAGCTTATATAATATAAATGTCGTGTATGAATTAAACCTGGTGGTGAATCACTGTTTGCTGACTCCTGTTCATCAAGATTCACTCATGATCCAATTGTGTGTTAACAACCTGGAGAACGAAAGAAAAGAACACACACACTAAATATGTGGATAACAAACTTAGAAATCAAACATAACACTGAGATATTTGACAATATACCTGTCTAATTTTCACAGAACTGGTTGCAGCAATGATATCAGGAAGGTGGAGCGGCTACTTCTCTATACCACGCTTTCCCTGCAAAAAATTATAGACATGCTGATACAGATGAAGAACTTAACATTATTTATTCTATAAAAAACCAAAGGAAAACGTACTTTTTACCAAGCTTACTTGTCATAAATTAAATGTAAAGTATATACAAATATACATGGATTGTAAAATATGACATACCATAGCTACTTAATTGATATGATTCATTATAGCAATAATTTGCAGAGACTCAACAATAAAATATTAACAAATAACTACAAAATCTGTCTTTTAATGTCTAGGTTTTGTGTTAGAAGTATATCAGTAAGCCTAGCAGTCGTCGACACATTAATCAAAACCTCAGTTGAAATTACAACCAACCATGAAAAAGAAACCAGATTCAGCTCTTTCAGATTTCGACTCTAATTCTAATCCATCAAAAAGGATTAGAATCAATCAAAGCTCTACTCCACAGAGTCAAATAACTCAAGCTAATAGATCTACTAATAATGGATCTGTTCCTCTTACAAGAGCTTTTGGTAGAGTTTTGCAAGATATTACCAACCTGAGTAATAGCTCTGTTTGTAATTTCCTGACACCATCTGTTAAGCAGCAATCCTTTACTACAAAAAAAACACAAACTGAGAAAGGTAATCTCCTGTTTAACACCTGCTGCTTAATTTTTAATGGAAAAGCTTAAAAAGTTTAATTCCACGTGAACAGTTTTCTTCTTAACGTTTTACCTTTAAAACAGGTTCAAGTGCTGCTTCTGGGCTGGCATCAATGTTCCAGCAAAACTGCTTAACAGGCTTGCAGCAATCTTCAAGAAGTGTCCTCAAAGACATCACCAATGTCCCTCTCCTGTTTGAGCATCATGAACACCGAGGACTGCAGGGAAGTACTTCTACAACTCAGAGAGCAAAAGGTAAATATTCACCCTTTATATTAAAATAAAGTAATGTATAACTTTAAGTCCTAAGAGATCTAATTGGATTTGAACTATTTGTTGTCAAGCACTCCAATCTGCTGCTCCTACTTCATGCATAAGCAATCAGAAACAGTCAACGCCTACCACACAAGTTTATAGTTTTCCAAGGAAAAATCTACAAGACGATTTTGAAAATGCATCAAACTCGCCTAACATTCAAGGTAATATTGAATTAGAATTTTGTATTACTAGGTATTAAATTTATTAATCTACTCAATTTCATCTATAATCATTAAATCTGATACTATGAATCAACTAGCTCAAGCATCTGTCACCATGGAACAAGACAGATTTGATAGTAGCGATTATGAAGACATGGACCATAACAACTATGCGAGTTCAAGTGACAATGAAACCGATTTTGAACAGAACTACTATCTCAGTCAGACTGACAATGAAACTGATCATGAGTCTGATGAAGCAATCGAAATAGTTGAACCAGAAAGTGTAGTTGGACAAACAACAGAACGACCAAATATCATTTCACACCAGCGAACAGGATATGAAGAACATGTTAGATTCATGGCGATGCTTGAAAAAAAAGTGAAGGAAACTATTGATAAGGCAGCCACAAATCAGAATATCCCTCAACCAAAGAAAAGAGGTCGGCCAAGATTGAATAAGAATGCTAAAACTGCACCAGCCAAACAAAATAAATCAGGTATATGATTTTTGAAGAGCGTACCAACAATTATAATTCTCTGAATCTTATTTTAAAAATTAATGCTTTCAATTCTATTTCCACCAGTTTATCTTGATCACGGTGATGCAACATACAAATGTAAGTATTGTGGTGCACTTATGTGGTATGCTGAGAGAATAAACAAAACTCTGAAGCAAAAGGAGCCGACGTTTACCCTATGTTGTGGGCAAGGCAGTGTTAAGTTACCTTTTCTTAAAGAATCACCTGAGCTTATCATAAAGCTTCTTACAGGTGATGACGCACTAAGCAGAAATTTCAGAGAGAATATAAGATTATATAATATGATTTTTGCAATGACTTCCCTTGGTGGAAGAGTGGACAAGTCTATGCCAAAAGGTAAAGGGCCTAACATGTTTCGTTTGCAAGGTGGAAACTACCATTTGATCGGTAGTTTAAAACCTAATCCAGGTGATTATGCTAAGTACTCACAACTATACATAGTTGATACAGAAAACGAAGTAGAAAACAGAGCTACCGTCATCAAGTAATCATTCTTCTTTCACTTTATTTGCAGCAAACTTTAATTTCACTCTAATCTGCTAATTTAACTTTTGTTATTTCCTATCTATGCAGCAAGGGGAAAAATTCAAACCAAACATCAGGAAAACAGAAACTGAAAAAAGAAGTAATTGAAGCACTAATGAAAATGCTCGACGAAGTTAACCCTTATGTTGAAAAATTCAGAGCCGCCAGAGAGAGGATTCAGTCTGATAATGATGAGCCGTTTCACATGCGTATCGTTGCTGATCGCAAGGGTGTTGATGGGAGGACATACAGTATGCCTTCATCATCTGAGGTAGCCGCTTTAATCCCTGGGGATTTTCATAAAAAGATGTATGACCGTGATATAGTACTTCAAGAAAAGACTACTGGTCACCTAACGAGGATTAGCCAAATTCATATTTCCTATTTGGCTCTACAATATCCTCTAATTTTGTGCTATGGTGAAGATGGTTACAGGCCGGGTATAGAGAAATGTTATAAGACAACCAACAATAAGAAGAAGAAGTGTATTAGCATGAGACAATGGTTTGCATTCAGGATTCAAGAGAGGGAACATGAGTGTAAAACTTTGCTACGTTCAAAGAGGTTGTTTCAGCAGTTTCTATGTGATGCTTATACAACTATTGAATCTAACAGACTCTCTTATATCAAGTTTAATCAGTCTAAGCTACGATGTGAGAACTATAGCTCTTTGAAAAAGGCTGCGGAATCAGGTACAACAAATATGAATGAAGAAGGTAATCAAATTTTAATTCCATCTTCTTTCACTGGTGGACCTCGATATATGGTTCAAAGCTACTATGATGCAATGGCCATCTGTAAGCATTACGGTTTTCCCGACCTATTCATCACGTTTACATGTAATCCAAAGTGGCCTGAGATAACTAGATACTGCCAAGAAAGAGGTCTATCTGCAGATGATCGACCGGATATTGTTGCAAGGATTTTCAAAATCAAGTTGGATTCTTTAATGGAAGATTTAACAAAAAAGAATATGCTTGGGAAAACAGTGGCATGTAAGTATTTAATCATTTCGTCAACTAATTCTCTACTCTAAATTAATCTTACTTTATATTTCTTTATCCTAATTATTATTCGTTTGTATTATTGCAGCTATGTATACTGTTGAATTTCAGAAAAGAGGACTACCACATGCTCATATTCTCTTATTCATGGATGCCAAAAGCAAACTACCAACAGCTGACGACATCGATAAGATCATTTGCGCAGAGATTCCTGATAAAGAGAAAGAACCAGAGCTATATGAAGTAATCAAGAATTCTATGATCCACGGACCATGCGGTGCAGCAAACAAGAATTCCCCATGTATGGTAGATGGTGAATGTTCAAAGCAATATCCGAAAAAACATCAAGATATTACCAAGGTTGGTAAGGATGGTTATCCCGTCTATAGACGAAGGAAGACAGAAGACTACGTTGAGAAAGGAGGTTTTAAATGTGATAATACTTATGTTGTGCCTTACAACAAGAAGCTTTCAGTTCGATATCAAGCTCATATCAACGTCGAATGGTGCAATCAGAATGGTTCCATCAAATACTTATTTAAGTATATTAACAAAGGTCCGGATCGTGTTGTCTTTATTGTTGAGCCTATAAATCAGGCGACAACAACTGAAGCTGCCACTACTGGAGTAAATCAGGGTACAACAACTGAAGCTACCACTACTGGAGTAGAGCCAAGTAGTGGTGAGAAAAAGAAGAATGAAATCAAAGATTGGTTTGACTGTAGGTAAGTTTCATACATACAATATTTGTCTTTTTTTTTAGTGTATTACTATTAAATTTGCTCCCTTTTGAAATTCTATTTTTACAGATATGTATCAGCGTCAGAGGCAATTTGGAGGATTTACAAGTTTCCACTTCAGCATAGATCTACCGCAGTCCAGAGATTATCTTTCCATGACAAAGGGAAACAACCAGCTTATTTCGATCCAAAGGCTCAGATTGATGAGGTTCTCGAACGTATAAGCAATGAAGATTCAATGTTCTTGGCTTGGTTGACTTTGAATAGGAAAGATGCTATTGGAAAAAATGGTAAACGTGCTCGAGAACTTTTATATTCGCAAATCCCGGCATATTTTATTTGGGATGGAAAAAATAAGCAGTGGAAAAAGAGATCAAAAGGCTTTTCTTTGGGTCGTATTAACTACGTCCCTAGAAAGATGGAAGATGAGTACTATCTTAGGGTGCTTCTAAACTTAGTAAGAGGTCCTATGAGTTACGATGATATCAAAACATTTAATGGAGTTGTATATCCATCATACAAAGAAGCATGTTTTGCACGTGGAATTCTAGACGACGATCAAGTTTTTATCGACGGTCTACATGAAGCAGCTCAGTTTTGTTTTGGAGATTATCTGGCAATCGACTCGGTCCGTTGATTTTATCGGAGTCTCTTGCAGACCGGAACACGTATGGTCAGAAACGTGGCAGCTTTTATCGGAGGATATTGAGAGAAAGAAGAGACAAGATTTTAACAATCCAGGTAAGAATTGTTTAAGTAACCATACGTGTGATTGTCATCATAGTTATTTACATTATTCTAACTTTTCCATACTATCTTCTTTCTCCACTAATTCGTCCTACCTCTCTTTGATGACGTTACAGATTTAAATCTAACAGAAGCTGAAATTAAGAATTACACTCTTCAAGAAATAGAGAAG